CTAGCAGCAGTTTGGGAGGCTGAGACAGGAGGGTCAGGAGTTTAAAGCCAGCCTTAGCAAAAGCGAGGCACTAAGCAACTCAGTAAGAGCCTGTCTCTAAATAAAATACAAAATAGGGCTGGGGATGCAGTTTAGTGATTGAGTGCCCCTGAGTTCAATCCCTGGTACAAAAAAAAAAAACTAAAACCACAAAGACACACATTAAGCAGTTTCCTCCTACCCCATCCCCATTCAGCCCACAGTCTCCTGCCCTGCTGGTTTCTTGCATTTATTTCTAGTGTTTCTTTAAGAAAACAAGAGCACACAGGAGCACAGGATTTGCCTGAGGGGTCATGGATGCCCTTGCACTTGCTGGGGTTTAGATAAGCTGCTGGAGAGGCAGGGCATCCTGAAGCACTCAGACTGCAGGGTGAGGGAGAGGCATCACCCAAGATGGGACCCTAGGGAGGGCTTGTGAGCTGCATTCCTGAGGCCAAAGCTGTGGCCAAGTGCATGAGACCCTCCTCTGGCTGTCTCCTTTCTGCAGCCTCAGCAACAACAGGACCCATGGCGGGGGCCTGGTCACTTGGGGAAGGAGTCTCAATCCACTGGGATGTTGTTAGTCAGTTTTTCATCACTGCGACTAAAATACCTGACAAGGACAACCTAGAGGAGGAAATCTTTATTTGGGGCTCAAGGTTTCAGACATTCAGGCCATGGTCAGCCAACTCCATTTCTCTGGACTTGAGGTGAGCAAGAACATTATGCTGGAAGAACTTGGCAGAGGAAAGCTGTCAGTTCATGTTAGCCAGGTAAGAGAGGGTGGGGGTGGAGAAAGAGAGAGTGAGCAAGTGCATGTGAAGCGACAGGGATAAAATATAATCTCCAAGGGCCGCGTGACCTACTTCCTCCAGTCATGCCCCACCTGCCTACAGTTACCACTTAGTAACCCATTCAAATTATTAACACGCGGTTTAACTTGCAGCTTGCATAATCTATAGTCATTTCACTTCTGAACATTCCTGCACTGTCACATGAGCTCTTCTGAGGGACACTCAGATCCAAAATGTAACAGAGGTCCTTAATAACTAATCCACTTCACCCTGAAATGATTCGCTCTCCAAACCTGTGGCCAGAACAGCTTCCTTTGTGAATTAAGTGCCCTGTCATTGTCCACGACTCAAGGATCACTCGACAGCTGCTGGGAGCCAATCTGGGGCAGAGGCCCCCTTGGATGCCTACCGACCCTTGCTGGGAAGAGAAGAAAGCAGAGGGCTGAAGTCCAGCATGGGGTCTCGGGGGCCATAGGAGCAGCTGGGGGACTGCAACTGGGGGCGGCACTTGGTGTCTACTGTCTTGACTTCTCTCTGCCTTTCTGGATGACTGGAGTCTCCCCAGAGCCCTGCACCCGCCTGCGAGCTTCACAGGCACTGGGAGTTCCCAGAGACCTTGTTGGAAGCCCCCTGTTGGGGGCTCCCATCTGCCCTGTGGCAGCTAAGGTCTCTAAAGGGGTGGGAGGAAGGCTCTAGGCCCGGCCATTTGCCTCTGGCACCAGGACAGTACTGGTTCTGCTGGAACACACGGCAGCGCCTTCTTTCTTCCTGTTCCTTTCAATTCAGTAAAAATGAAGCGCCGCCTCTATGTGCCAGGCACTTTGCTGGGTGGCAGATGCCCTGAGGCCCATCTCAGTGGGCCTGGGCAAAGGGCACTGTCTGCCAGGCACTGAGCCCAGCCATCACTTGCAGGTCTAAACCTGCCCAACTCTGGGCCACCTGGACATTCAGTGACAGCTCAATGAATCCATGAATGGGAGATTAGGGCAGCTCTCCAGAGAACAGCATTTTCCCAATCTCTTTCTGTCACGTCAACTAGGGCCTTCTCCCAGGTGTCCTGGCAGAGCTGGCCTGGCCCAGTGGGCAGCACTGTGGGGCCGCAGAGGCAAGGAGCTGGCCAGTCACACCATGTGGTTTTCCTGGAACGGCACTGCCTGAGCCTGGCCAAGATGCCCGGGAGCTCCAGGGCGTGAGTTGGTTGCAGGAACGAGGTGAAGAATTGCATCTTGGGGGAGGAGCCCAAGAAGGCAAGCAGGAAAGGGGAGGAAAGGGGGAAGGAGACCAAGGAAATGAGGAGGACATGAGAGGGGACCTACATGAGATCGAAGGTCTCAGACGTTCCAGCAGGGCCCGACTTTCTGTATCTCAGAGATGGGGGCTGCCAATAGGCTCAAATCTTCACTCCCACCAGAACCAGCACCAGTTGAGGAGTAGATTTCAACCCTTTCTTGTCCAGAAAGCAAATCGGATGCTGTGCCGGAGAGAGCCTTTCCTGCTCCAGGTGGCCTTGCGGCTGGCATCCAGATTGGAGGCCACATATTTAGCAGGGGCAAACGGGCTGATGGCAGAACCTTCGTTTTAGCCTTTTCAGGGAAATCTCAGCCAGGGCAGCTTTTCCAGAGTATTTACTCCTTTGTTTCAAGGCATTCTGAGCTCTGAAGACTTTGGGGGTGTTATGGTACGCAGTGGGGGAGTTACCTGGTCCTCCTCTGCACAGAAATGAGGTGGGGCTGAGTTGACTAATTAGATGTTTATACCAACAATCACCCGGGTCTGAAAGCACACACCCAAAGCCCCCCAGGAGCTGGCTTACCCCAAGCTCTGAAGCCATAGGATGCCTCCCCTGCCATTGGCAGCCTGGGTGGCCGTGTTTGAAAGCTCCCTGCTGCCTATGTATGGACTCTCAGATCCCTAGCCTGATCTTGGGGCCCTCCCAGCAACCTGCCCATTGACTGTATCGTGGCCAACGGCACCCTCACACCCCACATCTGTGTGCACACCCTCCTGCCCCCCCCTTCTCCATGGCCCTGGGCTTCACCATCCCTTAAGGCCCTTTTCTCTCCTGCAGGTGATTTGCTGCACCCCTTGACTTTGGGGACCCCTATTCCCCTGACTTTGAGGCTGGTTAAGAAGGTGCTGTCTGTCTTGGGCAGCAGAACACAGGCTTCAGGTGTGTGCACGTGGCTGACAAGCCGACTTTCACTCTGTGGACCTGGGTATGTTGCTTAACCTCCCTGAGGTTGGGTTTGCTCCCAGGTGACATGGGGTTAACAACACGGGCCTCACAGTTTATTGTGACCATTCCTGGCAAGTGTCAGCTGTGTGCTTACCCCGGGCCTGGCTCTATAGTAGGATCTGAAGGCTCATATACCTTGATGGGACTTTTCTGGTATATGTTCCACTGTCCCCATGAGACTGAGTTCCATGTCGTAAGCATCATGCTTTTTTTCTGTTAAGTGTGACACACACTTATCTGATGGTGGATAAACATGGGAAGGTCACCATGCTGGACACCTGAAGAGCCAAGGCTTGGAAAGACCCCCGTAATCCACCTGCTATGCCTCAGCCTCTAGTGGATTTGGGCAGTAATCACTAGAACCCACTAGATTTTTGGGAAGGATACCCTTTCAGCACTTCTTTTTTAATGTCTTTATTTTATTTGTTTTTATGTGGTGCTGAGGATCGAACATAGGACCCTGCATGAGCTAGGTGAATGCTCTACTGCTGAGCCACAACCCCAGCCCTATTTTTTAAAATAATATTTTAACTCATTTTTTAATATTTTAACACATTTTAAAAATATTTTTTAGTTGTTGATGAACTGACTTTTAATTGATGTGGTTCTGAGAATCAAACCCAGTGCCTCACACATGCTGGGAAAGTGGTTCACAACTGAGCCACAACCCCAGCCCTCAGCACTTCTTTTTGATCAATGGGCCTTTGTCCAGATGGTGAAAAGCTCCACATGGCACAACCATGGAGCACTGCCTCACTGAGTGGATGGAAGGGGCTGGGATATGTTCTCTCCTACCCTCAATCTCATTGGAGGCAGTCCTAGTGGTTTGGGTAAATCCCCCAAAGTTTTCTGTAGAAAGAGTACAGTTTTCAAAAATGCAATGGTTTTCTAATGAAACCCTCATCAGGTTTTCAAATAGCTGTGTAAACATCCTGACAGTTCAGGATGTTTACACAGCCACTTGGGATTCCATATAGCTTTCTGTAAAACTTTATTCTATATGTTTTTTGAGATGGGGTCTCCTCATGTTGCCTGGCTGGACCTGAACTCCTGGGCTGAAGTGATCCTCTCTCACCAGCCTCCTGAGTAACTGGGACTACTGGAACCTGCCCCCCCTCTTGGCTATAAAACTTAAGTTTTAAACATGTAGTCTTTCCTCTACCCCTTTTCTTTCCCAAAGTACTGGGGGTTGACCCAGGGACACTCAACCACAGAGCTACATCACCCTCCCTTTTTATTTTGAGACGGGATCTCACTAATTTGTGGAGGCTGGTCTTGAACTTGCAGCCTCCTCCCTCTGGACTCCTTTTCTGGCTTTTCCTCTATTTTTCAGAAAATTTATAGACACACAATTATGCCATCAAGTCCTCCCATCGTACGTGTGCAGTTCAATGAGCTTGAACAAATTTGTCCAGCTGTGTAAACATCACCACAAACCAGCTTTGTGACACTTTTATCATCCCAAAGTCCTGGCTGGCCCATCTACTGTCAGTCCCTTTTTCTTTCCTAGTCCCCAGAGACTTTTCTAGAAATTGCATGTAAATGGAATCATAGAAGATGTGGTCCTTTGTGCCTAGCTTCTTTCACTTAGCATAACATGTTTGTATGGGTTATACTTATGTTTCCTCCATTTTAAATATTTTTTGACCTATCTTTTCTCTTACACAGACAGACACAATTTCCTCACTGACCCCCTCTTGACTTAGTCTTTGTGCCCCTAGATGCAATTAGGAGAGAAGCATGGAGTCCACACACCCAGCAGGTTCCAAGGGTGCACTAGCCTGCCCCAGCCCAAGGAGGCCCGGGATGTGTCATCCCCCACGGTGGCAGCCAGCAAGCAGAAGTGAAAGTCAGGTGGGGTGAGAGATGTGCTTCCCCTCTCCCTCTCCTTCACCTTCTCCCTAGAGAACTTCAGTCTTTATCCATGGAGGAAAATAAGTATGAAACAGGACGGGAGAATAAAGTCAGTTTACTGAATGCACAGCTCCGTCCCACTTGGGGAGGAGCGAGGCATGAACAGGCGCCTCGGCAGTGGGATCCCAGTCTGCTGGGCCTGCCAGGGCCATTGGGTCCCCTTGGGCTTCTGGGCTGAGGGGCAGTAGCAGGACAGCCTGCCAGGTGCTCAACAGCCCCAGGGTGCCTGACCTGTGCTGTCTGGGACTCGTCTGGTTCCTGTTGCTGCCTGGGATGTTCAAGCCAGACCCCAGGGAGAGAGTGGCACAAGGTACAAATGGTAACTTGGAACACATTGGTTTCAATTTCAGTAAGGAGGAGGAGGGAGGGAGACATGTGGGGGCACAGAAGGGGCTGTTGAGTGGAGAGGTCTCTGCTGAGCTCCACGGCCAGCTTCCTTGCTAGATGACCCGGCTTGGATAAACGCTTTCATTTCCATCTCCCAACTCGGAATCTACAAAACAAGAAGATCTCTCAGGCCATAGGCCACAGCAGACTGTGGGATCTGCCTTGAAAGGGCATGGCATTGCTGCCCTTCATTCTTCCACTCTGGCCCAATGGCCAGTCACACACATGGCTACCATGCCTGGAACAGTCTGGGGACAGACATTTGTAGTCTGGGGCTGGGGAATCCCCAGTCTGACCTATAGGGCTTCCAGCTGGACAAGGGCAAGCCGCACTGTAAGCCACTCAGTGAATGCAACTCAGTCATCCCTGCATCCCGGCACTGCTTGGTACACTAACGTGTGCAGGCCAAATAGCTGGAAGAGACTTTGCCTCCTCTCAGAATAATGTCCCCACATCAATCTCTATTGCCTAGCAGTGGAGGTGACAGGGAGGTGGAGAGATTGAGTTGGGCTTCTAAGATGTCTTTTTGGGTCAATGGCGAGGCAGAAGAACACATAACAGGAGGGTGGAAGGCACAGAGGCATTGGGGTGGCAGTAGAGTTCCAGAGGAGCAGGAAGAGTGAGGGGCTCTCCTTATTATTGGGGAAATCTTGTTCTCAGTGTATTTCTTTTCACCTTGAAAAACACTATTGAGAAAGGTTTCTGACTGATGAAGAAGGGAAGAGAGTTGGGGGCAAGTGACATCCCCCATCCTTACCAGGACCCTCTCAGTGCTACATTTCACCTAATGGAAGCCCCCACTCCACAAGGTGCCCAGTTCCTCACCCATTCTGTGCTTCTTGGCTTGTGTTTGGGGGAGAGCAAGAGGGAGGCTGCTCTGGCCCAGCCGTTGGCCTCATGCCTGTCCCAGTCCTGTCCTCACCTGTCTGGATATCAACAGGTAGTCTTTGTTCCCCTCCAGGGCCTTGGTCTTGGCTATGGTGACAGTCATTTTTGCCAGCTAGAAAGTGTTGTTAGGGGGATGGGTCACAAAGTTGTGTGACAAGTTGGCATGCATATCCAGGGACTCTCTCCAGGGACTCTCTCTTACCTTGGTGCCATTTAGGGCTTTGGTTCCCAAGTTCAGCAAAGGGTGCCCAGTAGGCACCACAGAGCCACCAGGAAGCTGGCACTTGTTGTGCCACCTGGTGTGCCCTGATGTTTTGCCTTTCCCTCCCTGTTTACCTGAACTGAGCTGGGGTGGCAGGTCACAGCTGTGACTCAGTGCTGGCAGCCCATATTAACAAAGTGCCCGTGACCAGGTGAGTCATGCCAGCTTTGGGTGGGGGTGGGGGGGACAGGGAAAAAAAAAGGTGGCCCAGAAGGACGGCTGGAGGCCTCTGGCTCTGTCTCAGGCTGTCTGGGTTTTTGTCTTGATAATGGCTCTGGTGTGAAGCCAGGCAAAGGCAGCCACTGGCCAGCTTGCCAGGGTCCCTCTCAGTGCAGGGCTTTTTTCTCTGCCTGCACTGTGCCCGGAGACACTGCAGCACTGGGGCAGGTGGGGAGGACAGGGCAGGTGGGGAGGACCAGAATCTGTTTCCAGGGGATAACTGGCTGCCCCCACATTGGGGATAGGACCGGCGGGAAGTGATGGTGGGGATCCTAAAGCTGCTTCTAGTTCACAGAAAAAGATGGCAAGAGTTGGGGCTGATCAGTGGGACCATCTGCCTCAGAGCAGCAGGGAGGATAGAAGGGGGCCCTCCTTCCGCTCCGTGGAGACGGCCTTTCCAGCAGCGCCTACTAAGGATGCTCTTCTGCCCTCCAGAAACGGTAGCCTCCGTGAGGCCTGGCCTTCGAGGCCAGGGTGCCACTTCCCGGTCCCCAAGCCCCGGCCAGGATGGCTGGAGGAGCAGACTGGGCGGCTCGGCGGCTGCCAGGGCGGCAGGTTGCCGCAGCCCGCGCGGGGCACTAGAGGGCGCCCCTGCCCACCCGAACCCTCCGGGGCGCGCCCCGCGCCGCAGGTTCCCGGAGCCGGGAAGAGCCGCGGGCGCCTCCGGGCGGGGCTGGGGAGGGGGCGCAGCTGGGCGCGGCGCCGGGGCCTGCGGTCCTCCCTGCCCGCTGCGCTGGGGCTCGGTGGCTCTCGCCTGGGCCAAGCTGAGCACCCGCGGGGCGACCAGCCGAGGCGCAGAGGCGTTTTCCCCCGGAGGTGGTGCGTGCTGCGGCGACACAAAGGTCCTTGAAAGACCTCACCGCTCCCTTCCTGGCTGCCCGCCCAGGCGACCAGGCCGGGTCTGAGGGCGGCCCCCCGGAGCGTCCCCCGGACCTCGCGAGCTGGAGGGGGCGCTGGGCCCCTGGCCGGCTCGCGGGACTCCGCGGACGCGCGGGGACTCTGGCTCGGTGGGCTCCTTTTGTGAATGCAAGGAAGGGCCCTCCCCGGCCTCGGGAAACGGTCAGCTCGGCTCCCCGGGACTGCGTGCCCCGAATGACAAATTGGCTCTTTCGGGTCGCAGGCTGGGTCCCACCCTGGGGAGAGCTGAGCTGCCTGGGCGGGTCTTGTGGGGTTATCTAAAACATCCCCGTGGCCAGCTGCATCAGAGTCACCGGGGTCTGTGCCTGAAAGAGACATTGCAGGGCCCCGCCCCATCGCCGGAGGGCCCGGGGGATCTGTGTTTTGGGTAAGTGCCCCGGTGATTCTGATGGCAAAGCCAGCAGAGGAGCCACTGTTCTAAACCTTTCCAGGCAGGTAGTTTTAAGATTTCACACCCAGAGAACCTCCTGGGGATCCAATAGTCACACCCACCTCAATTCACTGCAGTGTTTATTCTCCCTCCTGATAGAGAAGTTCTTCCTGAGTCTGACTTTGAGCCCCCCCTGCTTTAATTAAGCACATTTTCTCCAGTCCAGAATGAAATAAGGAACAGTGAGGAGACTTTTCTGGACATGCTTGGAGATCTCTGCCTTTCAGAGACTTTTCTCAGACGTGTTTGCTTTGTTCTGAATCCAGCAGACCCACTGAATTGGGCCGAATGGTGAGAGAATCCAATCAAGCCCTTGCTTGTTTTGAATGCAGTTCCTTTTGGTAATGGTCAAACAGTCCCCACTTCAGGGTTTGGGAAGAAAAATTCCAGACAGGATCCTGACAGACCCCCCCCCCCCCCCACACTCCTCCAGCTCACCAAGTGCTGGATGCTGGAGAATCCCAGCAAGGAAAAGGAAAAAAAAAAAAACCTTATCTTCTGCCTGCTGATACCCTCTGCCCCTTTGTTGACCCTTCTCCTTGCTTTCAGGATGAATTAAAATTCTTATCTGCTCTGCATCCAGCATACTTGGACTCGCCTTCCTGTTAGCTGCAGTGACTTTCCCAAGCTTTACAGTGTTATTTTTGCCTCTGGGTGGTGGTCATGACTTCCTTCCATAGGATTACGTTCCACACAGTAACAGAAAAGGAGTAATTTAGCCAACACCCTCAAAATGGCAGGACTGACCCCCAAACCTACTTTCATTTTCTTCCGGTCTGGGTTGTGGGTAATTTCTTGTCAACTAGGAGAAAGAAGACAATGAGAAATGAATTGTTTTTCTAATGCAATTGTGAACAGATGTACAGTTCCCTAATCTCGAGAATGTTCTAGAAACCTCTTACATCACCTTAAAGGGGCACGGAACGGGCACAGGTACTGAGGGCAGTGTCCATACTCAGCATAGCGAGTCCCATAGCTGCAGCAATAACCTGAGTCACCTTTGCTGTTTCAGGGCTTCTAAATTTGGCGGTGTGGCCAGACTTGCTTCCTTTCAGTGATTGATCTGAATAGCAGAATCCCTCCCTGATGGGCCGAATAGGCTGTGGGGGTGAAGGCTGTACTCACTGGCCACTTGCCTCACCACTGGCTTTTAAACAATCGGTTGCATTATCTGCTCACAGGAAGCAGCAGACCCATCAAGGCCCTGGGCTCTCTCTTTGTTCTGACTTTATGGCATTTTATGCCACAATAAGAAACACTGTTTACTCCGTGGGAGCCCATTGTGCCAGCCTGCAGGGATGTGGGCTCCAAGGCAGAAGGGGCTGGTGCTCTTCCCCTGGAAGAAGAGGGGCTTTGTGACAGGCTGGGGACAAAACAAGGGGTGCTGGACACTGTTACTGGGCAACTGCGTGGCCAGTGTTGAGGCAGCCCTAGTCCCTGTGCCCATGCAGGGGGGGAGGGGCAGGAGAAGGATGGAATTTCATCCAGGATAATGGGTCCTGGTTACCTGGTAAATTATACACCAGGATCGTGCTGACCTTGGCCTCCATCTTCTGGTTGCCTTCGCCAGGTGAATGTGTCTAGCTAACCAACCCTCACACTCCACCACAAAAGTTCATCTTGGTGAGCAGGAAGATTTCCTGACTGTGGGCCAAACCTGGGCTTCTCATATTCTGGGTAGATTTGGTCCCTTAGGGTAAGAGTTTCTGGTTTTGTAGAAACTGTGGGAATGGGGAAGGGCCATGAATGGACCAATGGGATCTGAGGGTTATTTCCACACCCTACCTGCCTCCCAGGCACCATGCTCCCCTCCCCTGCCACCTAGCCTGGCTTTGTCACCATTAACAGAAGACGAAGGGATGTGCTTTCTTCAGAAGACACTGGAATAATCAGATGGAGATGAGACCCAGGCAAGGAGGAAGCCCCAACAGGGGTCTCTAAGGGAGAATACTCTAAGGGAGAATACTGGGAGGCTCCATGTGGGTGTGGAAGGGAAAGAGGCTGCTAGGCACTTGTGTATCCTGGCAGTGCTCCTTCCAGGACATCCCAAGTGAGGAAAGGCCAGCCTCCCACTGGGCATGTGCAGAGAATAACATCAGTGCCTTCAGCCTCCCCTCTCCCCATACCCCCCCAAGCCCTTCTCCCATACCCCCCATGTGGCCCTCCAATCCCCTGTGCCATTGCAACAGCTGCCCAGGTGGTCTCTTCCCCCACCATCCTGCCCACCCTCCATGTGGCTCCTGCAGTTATCAAACATCCCTGTCTCCTGGCCTGTCAGTCCCAGGCTGGGAACTGTTCCGTAGCCGCCAGAGCCATACCCAGACTCTTCCTGACAGGCTCTCTGCCCACACCTTGGGCCACTTTCTGCCTGCCCTGGCCACACAACTCCTTGACTTTTCTTTGCCTTGGCATATTCCTTGGCACAGAGTACCCTCTCCTTCCTCACCCATTGTCCATCTGCCATCCGTGCAAAGATTTAGTCTATATATTGATCAGTTGACTCGAGAAGTAACAGAAGCAGCATTGCCACCAGGCTCCCAGAGCAGGGCAGACTGCTGGCAGAGGCTGTGACCTGAAGGATTAGAAATAAGGCCTCCCAAACACTGGCTGGTGTCCCTGAAGAGCCTGGCTGGAGACTCTGTCTCAGAGAAAAGGTGGAAGGAGGTGGGTGGAGATGACAGCCCTTCACTGCAGCTAACTCTGCTCTGCACTGAGTTCCTCCTCCTCCAGCTCAGTCTTCTATCATGAGCCAGGCACAGTTTGAGGTGTGTTTCTCTGTCTTTAGACGCTGAGTGCCTTATAGGCAAGGAGGGTCTTATCTCTGTATTCTCAGCATCTAATTTAGAACCAGGCATAGAGTAAGTATGCAGAATTAATGAATATACCTTGATATTGGAGTGTTCCTTTACCTAGAGTACTATTCTCTCTAGGAATTTGTATTATCACTTTCTCTAAAAATATGATTCTGGACTCGCTCCCTGGAAGAAGTAGGTTCTGATTCATTGTGCATTAAAAAGTTATTGAGCGCTGGGCACAGTGGTGCATGCCTATAATCCCAATGGCTCAGGAGGCTGAGGCAGGAGGATCATGAGTTCAAAGCCAGCCTCAGCAACTTAGCAAGGCACTAAGCAACTCAGAGACCCTGTCTCTAAATTAAAAAAAAAAAAAAAGTGCAGGGAATGTGGCACTCAGTGGTTGAGTGCCCCTAGGTTCATTTTTTTTTTTTTTTAGAACCTATCATGTACCAGGCATTTTCTAAGCACTTCTGTGGGATATAGAAGACATAAGAGACTGTGCCCAAGTGGTCAATGAGACCCCAACCGAAACACACCACTTCTTTCTTTGGCACATTTGTAATCACCCAGTGTTCCTGGAATCCATAGTGTTGTGGACATGGTCAGCAGTCAACTGTGACAAAGCCTGTACTCAGCAAGAGAGACAGGTGTAGAAGTCCTGGCTTTGTCTTCAAATATCTCACATCCTCATTGAGAAGAGAGATGATTAACAGAATTGTTGGATGCCGAGGAAGCCCCAGCCAGAGAGATGCTGTCTTGTCAACTTTACAGCCTCTAGGAATTCGCTGGGCCCCTGGTTCTCTTGCTCAGTTACTCCTTTTCAGTTATTTTATGTCTTTATAAACATGTGAGTCTTGTCTCCCAGCTTGTTCATAAACTCCTCAAAGAAAGGAACGGTTGTGGCATCATGGCTGCCATCCTTATTCTCTGAGCCCATATTCTCCCCTGGTGCAGGGCAGGGCATGTCAGAGCAGGGAAAGAGCCATCGCTACAATTAACACTCAGGTCACCAGGACTCTTAATGAGATAGTTAAGAAGCCCAATTCTCTGGTTCTGGCAGGTAAAAGAACAGGCAGGAGGGTTTCTCTCCCGGCTTTGTACCTCTCTTTTCCTAAATGTTACCCTTGGATTCTGAGTATCTTCTACAGGAAAATACCAAGGCCAAAATTCAAAAGAGTGTGGTGAATATGACAAAATCCATTGGTTTCTTGCTTCCTTGCGGCTGCCTCCTAATGGGTGGTTCATACCAGTTCTTGCTGGATGATTGAAGGGGGGGTCTGTCTCAGGGTTTCTCAGGTTAACCGTGAGCTGGTGGTGAGAGGGGAGTGCTGCCTGGCTCTTTCTGCTTCTTTATACCCTGGTCCCTCCTTGCTCCTGGGGTAACGAGGGCCTTCCACAGAATGGCTTTAATGGAAGGTTCCTTAGCATCAGTGCTCTTGGGCCTTGGTGTTCATCTGTTGGGTGGTACCATTTGACTTCGTGTTTTGCTTTGGCGCAGTTGGGTGGCTGATGTCCACCACTTTGGCTCACTGATGCAGGGACCGTCCATGACCTATGACAACCCTGGCTGCCTCGAAGCTCAGTGTGCAATAAAAAGTTCATTAAAAAGATGTGGAATCACGAAAATGAGGTTACAGAAATGTTAACAAAGGATCGTTTCCTGCTTCCTGTACTTTCCTTTTCTAAAAAAATGTATTTCTCTGAGGAATTTATGTTACCGTTAAAACCATGGAAGGGTTAAGGAAGGACAGGCCTAGGTCAAAAAGAGGGTGAGATTCCTGAGAAGATATGTTGGCAGAGACCCAGCCTGTTTGCTTACTTGAGAGCTCAGTGTTTAAAGCAGGAACGAATCTAGAATGTGTATGACAGATGGCTCGAATCTGGTATTTTTAATAGGGGTGACTCCCAACAGATCACAGTAGCCCACACCTGAGGTCATGTAAGCCACACCTGGGATCACAGGGCTTGGGTCTCTAGGCATAACTGGTGTGGCAGATGCCTCCTGTCCACTTGAGAAAGAAGGATGAGGAGGAGGAGAGAGGAAGAAAAATAAAGAAAGAAAGAAGGAAAAGAAATTAAGGAGGAAGAGAGGCACATGGGATAGATGGGAGAGCACTAAGTTGGCCTCATGGCACTGTCTGTGCCTTGTCCACTGCCACTCTGGCTGACCTTCTTATCATGACCTTCTGACGTGAGCAGAGGTCAGGATCCGAGCTTCAAGTGTTGTCCTGGGAATCCAAAACACCAAGAACACAGCCGCCCCTGGCATGACCTAAGGAAAGGACGGTGCCCCTGGCCTGTCTCCTGCCTGGCCTGGCCACAGCCAGCCATTTGATGAAGAGGGCAGGCTCCTGGGACCCAAGGTGCTGACCTGACAATGACTAAGTGTTCTAGGACACTTCAGAGGTCAGCCCGTGGTTGACTTTGCAAAGGCCAAGCCACAGAGTTAGTAGTAGAGCAGGCCTCTCCCTCCATATCACCTGGCCACCTGGAGGACCCTGGGCTTCTTGTTAAAGGAAGGGTGGCCACAGATGACCATGCCTGGTAAATACATGGCCATGCCTCTGATGGAGTCACACCAGCATCTTTATTTCTTGGTATCCTTTCTCCTTCAGCAGGTGCCTGCAGGTACACACACACACACACACACACACACACGTGCTGGTATAATGTACCCAGGGATCCAAAGCAAATCAGGAAGTGAGGTCCTCTTACAGTCTATGGCTAACCAGATCTCCTGTGGGGAAGAGCCCTCTTTTTCACAGGTCCTCCGTGCTTGGGCAGTGGGCACGCTCACACAGTGCACATCCAGCCCCCACATCATTGCTGGCCTCTATTTTGGGGGACATACTTTCTTATATGATCACTAATGACCACTTAATCACTATATTGTATCACTTTTCATAAAGAGGGTCACTGTAGATACACTTAGCAGCTCTAATCTCGGTCCTGACCAGAGTCCCATATCTTACCAAGTGACCGTGAGGACCTCAACAGACGCACATCTAATAAACACACCACGGAGTTTTTTAGGCCACAGGAGACAGTGCGGGTTCGGGACCAGACTTACCCTCTCCCTTGAGACCCGGCTGTAATTGAGTCTCATGAGTTCTGCAAACCGCTGCTCATACAGGTGAAGCAGCAGCACCAGGTATAAGCCTGAATTCATCAGCTCATTTTGTGCCTAAATATGGAAAAGGAAGCTCGTCATCCGTCTACAAGGTATTCATGATCTCAATGGGGGCGGGGGGGGGAGGAGCAAGACCTAGAGCTGACAAGAAGTGTGACTAGAGCCCAAGTTCCAAAGCAAGGACCACCCTTGGGGAGCAGGGGATGGAGCCGGAGGCAGCCGGGGTGGAGTTCTGTACTACTTCATGGACGAGGTACTGAGAAAGCTCCATTTGGCAGGCTCCATCCCACCCCATAGATACAAGCAGTCATGAGCGCAAAGCTTTGTGTCTGGAGTTGTGGGGAGCAGAGGGCAGGAGGTCTCAGAGCTCCCTGCTGGGAGCTGGTCACCTGATGCGGAGGAGAGAGCCTCAGTCACAAACAGCTCTGATAGCAGCCACCCGTGCCTGGTGTCACAATGGAGATGAAAGGAGGAAGAGAGACTGGTGACTGTGAGCTGGGGGAGGGCTTCTTGGAGAAGGTGGCCTTTGACAGTCCTTAAAGGACAAGTGCCTAGGGGGGCTGTTAGGCCTTCTGGACAGAGACCCTGAAAGCCAGCAGAGGAGCGTGTGGTGAGCGAAATTCCCTCCTGTGTAGTGTGGCTGGAGCACATGGGGCGGGCGTCTGCTTTGAAATTTAAAAAAAAAAATTTTTTTGGCACGGGCTGGGAGATGGTGAGGTGTGGACCACACTGGGCAGACGTGAGCAGTGTGGACGTGATGCTGCGTGTGGGGGAACTGCTGGTGTCTTTGAGCACAGGAGTAAACAGGACGAGATGTGTCTTAGAAGTGCCAACTTCACTGCGGGACAATCTGGGACACAGATGCCTCTGGGAAGCTTGGTTTTCCTAGATCCTCTTTTGCCCAGAGAAAGAGCCCCACACCTCAGTTCTGTTCATCTCTCCCTTTACAATCAGGTTGTCTATTTTTTTTGCCATGCTAGGGATTGAACTCAGGGCCTTGCACTTGCCACCAAGTGGCATCCCTGGCCACGGTCCCCTTCCGCCAGCTGCTTACCTAATCCCCAGGTGTGTCCAGGCAGGATCTTAGGTAGCATTGGGGACCTCACCTCAGGGCCTTTGCTTGAGCTTTCTTTCGTCGGTCACTTTCATGTGTCTATTTTGATGCCACTCTCCTGCCTGGCCATGTCTAGAACTTCCTTACACAGCTGTTGCAAATGTCACCTCCTGTGGAAGCTTTCCTGATGAACTTCATTTGTTCCTTTACTCCCTGACTCGTAAACATGTGTCTTTATTCTGGATACCACATCTTGCACTTGTTATTTATTTATTCACTTACTTTGGTCCTGGGATGGAATCCAAGGCCCTGGGCCTATTACACAGTGCTCTACCACGAGCCATGCCCCTTGCCCATTTCTGCTTTTTCCCTGGAGCTTGAAGCAGGTGCTGCCTAGCAAGGTGGAGCCATTAGGCCACAGCGCCCCTGTCCTTGGACCTTCCCCTCGGATAAGTCAGTGGGTCAGTAAGGGAGGATTCCTACTTTGGGAGGAAATGAGGGGAAGGTCCTTTAATCCCTCATCATCCTTATGCTAAGTCCCATGAGTCGGGGGTCTCTGGATGGGCCAGGCTGAGTTCAGGACGTCGCCCAGTCCTGGAGGGCTAAAGTGCCCCACAGGGAGCCAGCCCTTCACGTCACCCTTCAGAACTGTGACTCTGGGTGCGTAGGGTAGCACAGTGTGGACCTGACACATGACCACTGCAGGGTGCCTCCTTCCTGTCACAGCCAGGCCCATCTTCCTGTTCCTATTAGATCAAGGGCGGCTCAGGAAGTTGGGGCAGAACACACCTCTTCCAGGACCAAACAGCGGCCAGGAAAGGTGCGGAAGTTGAGCAAGGATCCATGTGCTCTTCCTTCTGAATCAGGCCAACTCCGGATCTTGGTGCCAACTGGCCTCAAGGTCACTGCCCAAAGCTTCTCCAGCATCCTATGGGCCCGTCTTAAAAGGCTCAAGCCAGCCTGTCCTTAGCAGTTAGACTTCTATTTTTAGCCTTGGTTGTTTTCTGGGCTCTGTTGACCTTGGCCTTGAGTAGGCAGACAGCAAATTGCTTGTTTTCACTTTTCTGTTTCCCATGCCTCCTCCCACCTTCCCTAAGAGCAGGTACCTGCTGCCTCCTTTCAGGATGGTCTCCAAAGCCACCTCCTCTGGGAAGCCTTCCTGCCAGGCCTTTCAGCTCCTTTACCTTGTCCCCTGCTGGCTCTCCTGGCCCTGGCCTCCTGTGAGGGAATGAGGGCTTTCTGTCCAGCCCCGTCTTTGCCAGGGAGCCCTCTGCGTAGAGACACGCTGATGCATAATGGCAAATCAATCAGCTAGAAAATGGCTTGGAACTATCAGGTTTGTCAAAGCATTCAGGGAAATCATTTACTTTTTATGACTCAATAAGGCCTGCAGGCATGCAGATGGGAAAATATCCACTAATGTTTTCTGCAGATAATTTGAAAAGTCACTTCTAGCAGATTGTGTCTCTTCTCTATTCTGTGGGAGGGAACCTGTCGCGTGGTGCCATAAATCTCGCGGCTCCTCTTTACGTGAGCCCTTTGCAGAGCTTGCGATGCTGACACGGCTGGGCCGGCCAATTGGAGCTGGCTTGGTAGGCAACCCAGAGGCATCCTTTCCACTCCCAAGCCACAAGTGGGAGGGACCTGTTGACTGAGAGCTCGGTGGCATTCAATCAGCAAATGAAATAGATTTTGGAACGTAATTTATTGGAACTACTCCTGATCCACTCTCCACTTGACCCAATCACATCGCGCTCTGGTTCCCACGTGGCCTTCCCTTTGTCACCAGCCTGAAGCGTCTGGGAGTGGCAGGAGGGGGTGGGGACATGGGGAAAGGAGAAGGCAGTTGAAGCCGTGGACGCAAGCTCTGGACAGCAAGGCCCACCAAGCAGCTGATTTTCTTTCTTTTCTTCTCTTCCCACCCTTCATTTTCTTTACCCTCCGTTTGTCCAACAGGCTTGCTACCCAGGGGAACTTTCAGTGCCCAGGCAGTGCCCTCGAAGAGCCTGACAGCCTGGCTGGACATTTTGTCAAATCTCCAAATATGTTCTGGAGATGCTCCCAGGTCTAAGGGTGATTAGGTGCCTGCATGTGTCCGAGGACATCTGTCTTTGACTGAGATGGAGCAAGGCCAGGCCTGTGCTTCAAAACAACCACAGCTGGAGGCCCTTGAGACCCTCCTGTGCCGCAGAACAGAGGCAGCGGGGAGCTCATCTCCAGGGCCCAGCGGGCAAGGCCCCGACAGTGCTGCCGGGCAGGTGGGCAGACTGACGTCACCAAACACTGTGATGCAGGGCAAAGAGTTTTAACTGTGTGAGGCCAGAGTGACTCCACTTATAAGGGGGGATAGTAACCTCTGCCCATTTGCCCTAGGCATTATGTAAATTGAGCTGACACAGGTGGTTGGGGCATTTTACAAAACAAAATATCCCCCAGAGGCAAGAATTCAACATAGGCTTCCCAGGCACGTGGTCTGGGATTGAGGTGTGTGAGGGTGGGGCCCATATCTTGTTGTCACCTCTACTCACAGTGCCTGGTGCGTAGCGTGTGCTCAATAAATACATATGTGGATGGAACAATGGGAGCAAAACCTAGATTTTGCCGGTCCCTTGTTCTGACCCTCCCCTATCGTGTTTATTGCTACTGTGGACTTTCTCATTAGGAAGAAGTGACTGGGTTGGCTTTGGACTGCCCAGTATCTGCAGCCCCATGTTTGACATATAGTAGGTGTTCAATAAATGCCATTTATTTATTTATTGTAGTGTTGGGAACTGAACCCAGAGGTACTTAGTGGTAAAGTCACACTCCCAGCCCTTTCTATTTTTTATTTTGAGATCCCGATCTCACTTAAATTGCCCAGGCTGGCCCCAGACTTGCAATCCTCCTGCTATGGCTTCCCAAATATCTGGGATTACAGTGAGCACCATTATGTGGGGCTTCAATAACTTTTAAAACAGTTGGCTAAAGTCTCATGTTATGTGTATTTTGGCACAATTTAAAAAATTGATACTTGGCCCCATGCCACGTCAATCAAATCAGAATCTTGGGTTGAGCCTGGGCAGTGGCATTTTAATAAGGGAAAAAAAAAAAAGACCTGCAGCTAACAGTTAAAAGCTGTTATCTGGGGAGGTGAACTATGGGAGATTTTTGCATGATTATTGTAATCAAAAGCAAAAGAAAACATTTAAATAGGAAATGCATAAGATAAAAGAAGCTCGTGGGCTACTTAGTTGAGGTCAAGGGAGAGCCAGGCTGGGCTGAAGCCAGTGGACCTGTTCTGGTTTTGGTTTTGTCCCTATCTTTGTATAGCTAGGTTTGGCACCAGTTACCCCACTTCTCCGGAAGGGAACCTGGAGTGACCAGCACGGAGGGTGGCTGAGAGGCCTGCAGGAGCCATGGCCTGGATGGGAAAAGGAACCAGGCCCTCAGAGGCACAGGAACATGGGGACACAGATCAATCCACGGCCCCCTGGGGGCCACCCCCGCGGGGCTGGTCCCGTCAGAGGGCCTGCCATTTCTGAGCTCATTTCTGAGGCACAGGCCGAGGTCCGTGGCTCCGTGGGTAGCTGTGTGTTAGACCACAGTCCTGGTCCGGGTGGAGGGTTCTGGACTCTCCTGAGTTGCACTTCGCTTGTGTCTCAAGTTTAGCTCCGACCTGTAGCAAGCAGACGCTGTTACCTTCACAACAGGCCACGGGAAGGAACAGGCACAAGTGCTGTGAAAGTGTGAGCCCTGCCGTCCTCCGCAGGGTGGGTCTGCAGCACCTTCCCACCGTGATCATAATGGAGGGCGTTTCCAGAAGGCTTTGATGACCTGTCAAGTTCTCACCCAAACTGGTTTTAAAAGCTTTTCTGCTTCCACGTGGCGTAATGACCATGCTGGACGTTTTCCACTCTCCCCTCCAGAGCCACTTTCCAGCCGGCACTGTGGCCTGCAGGCTGACCCCGTGGACTGCAGGGCTGGGCTCCCTCGCCCTCTGGTTTCCCACTGGGTTTGGCCA